CTTGCCAGGCAAGTGCTTATCCTACTTAGTTATCTCTCCAGCTCCTGTATCACAAAATATTAAAGGATGAATTTGACAAAAGATGGGATAAAAATTACAAAATGAGATAAAATTTTGAAGTAGAGAGCTAAATAAATGCAGTTCATAATAGTGCTTATGCACCTGCATTTCAAATAAGTATGTTAAAGAAGTCTACTCTTTCCAAAATTGATTTACAGATTTGTGGCAAGTTCAGTGAAATTTCAACAATCATTTTATGGATTAGAATTAGAAGGTCAACCTTAAAATTGATATGAAAATATAAAAAAAATCTTGAAAAGCATTACAGAGTTAAGAAAACATGATTTTCCAGAAACAAAATAATGTTATTATTTGCCTAAAGATAGAAACATGAAACTAAGGAAGAGAAGTATCTACTCACAGCACAAAATAAAAACAAATGGAATGTCAGAAATAATTACATACAAAACAGTGGTAGCAAACCTATGGTACACATGCCACCATGGGCTGCTTCTATCATTGAAAACTCTGAAAGTTCTGCCATCGTGATAGAGAACAATTCCTTTTTAGCTACAATTTTGTTTTTTGTGGTTTCAGTTACTTGAGGGCAGGTGAGGTCTGAAAATACTATGGAAAATTCCAGAAATATACAATCCATAAATTTTAAAATGTTATGTTGCTCTGCATAGTGTTAGGAAATCTTGCACTGATACACTTCATCTTATTTTCGACATAAATCATGCAATCCAAATGATATATTCACTACCCTGTCAGTTACTTTTCATCTTAGCATTGATGATCACAGTACTGAAATGTTTGTGTTCAAGTAACCTGTTTCACTTAATGACCCCAAAAGAAGTGCTGCTAGCAATTGGAATATGCAAAGAAAAGCATTCAAATGAAAATATAAACATTCTGACTTAATTTAAAAAAAAATCATTCATCCATTCATTCATTTATTCACTCATTCATTTATTCATTCATTCATTCATTCATTCATTCATTCATTCATTCGGTATAGAGTCTCAGTACACAGCTTGGACTTCTGGTGATCCTCCTATCTCAGCCTCTCCAGTGCCTGTTATTGGCATTGAACACGAGACCCTGCACTTGACAGGCAGGCACTTAGTAAAATCTACTAACTATAATTATCAACTTAAGTAGAAGACAGTCTTGAGCAATTGAGAGATCTGATGCTATCTCCAGATGTCACTTTACTCAGAGAATTGAAATGAAAGGTGACTGCTACAAAATCATGTATTTTGTTTTTTTTTTTTTTTTTTTTGTTTTTTTTGTCTTGCTTACTCTTTTTTTTTTCTTTTCAAAGTTTTATTGATAAACATATAGCAATGAGACAGTTTCAAATCAAATCGAAAGTACAGTTTCAACAAATAATACACTGCATACATTCTTCCTAGTGGTTAATTGCTGTACAAGATGCAGACTTGTGATCCTACTTACAAACACCATTAGAAAAAATCATTCTATTCATTAAGAGAAATCATGTATTTTGAATCTGCCAGAGAACTGGTTTCTGGTTGGAAGAAATCTTTCTATATATTTTGACCAGTGGTTTTGGTCAAATGTATTGAAAGGTGAGAGATAGTTGAAAAATACTAGTTTTTCCTTCTCTAACCTTGGAGACATACTTCTCATTTCCATCTGAGACTCCATCAGAATGGCCTTTTCTGTGAATATTTTCTATCTACATTCTATTCAGCATTACACAGGTATTCTCTAAGGAAACAGTGATTCTTTCTAGCACTCCTCTTTTAAGTCACCAAAAGAATTGCCTTAAAAGCTCTCCTTGGGCTGGTGAGATGGCTCAGTGGTCTAAAGCACCTACTTAGAACAAGCTTAGCAAATCACAGGGACCGCTGTTCAATCCCCCAGCACCACATGCCAGCCAGCCCCGCCCCCTGGTGGGCTGAGCTGGCCACACACACACACACACACAAATAAAAAATTAAAAAAAAAAAAAAGCTCTCCTCTTGGCTTTTTTCTACCATAGACTTCAAAATTCTTCAGCTTTTTCCTTTACATAGTTCAAAAAAAACTTCCACATTTTTCAGTATTTGTTATACAGCACCACCCTCAATTCTCAGTATCAACTTTCTGTCAGTCTTTTTGGGCCACTACAACAAAGTAGAGCCACAAATGAACAGCTTACAGAAAATAATACAAGATTAAGGTGCCAGCAGATTTGATGTCTGACAAAGGACCCCTTACTCATCAACAGCGCTTTCTTGCTGTGTTCTCACATGATAGAAGGGAAGAATTCTGGCATCTTCAATCACTCATAAAGCACATTAGTTCCGTTTATGAAGATTCCACCCTTACAACCTAATCAATACCTCCAAATACCATCACACACAGGATTATCAACATGAATATAGGGAAGACACAAATATTTAGTTCATAGCAGAGAGATGTATATTTGTAGCCATTAGCCATGTGTAACCTTTTGTTTATATTATGAAGAGAGGTTAATCAGCTAAGAACTAAACACATGAAGAAGACATGCATACTAACCACTATCATAAGCAGCAGTTCAATGTAAAAATTGACTACAAACTTCTAATCTTTTGGAATACTCAGTTCAAAAAAGAATTAAAATTAAAATAACATGAGTTCAGAATGGTTTTATCCTACTGCCTATGTCAAAAACTAATTTAAAACAGATCTAAATATACAAAACTTAAGGATATTAAAACTCATAAATGACTTACCTCTTGTCTCCCTAATGTTATCAGAACATCTTCTGTCAGAGGAGTTACTAAAAAATAAACAACAAAATTATGCATTAGTTAATTCTCAATAATTCAATTTTATAGTTTTCTAAGGTAATCCTTTTTATCTCCATCTATATATTACAGAACTTCCGCTGAAAATATAATTTAAAAAATTTTTTTCTAGTTGTAGGGATTGAATACAAGGCCTCAGCAAAGAGATACATGCCTAGCCATTTTTACTTTTTATTTTGAGGTAGAGTCTTTCATCACCAGGCTCAGCTAAAATTTGCAATTCTCCTACCTCAGCCTCTCAGATGCTGGGATTACAAGCAATTTTATTTCATCTCTTTTTACATAATCAACTTTATAGACTTTTGTGTAAATTTTACCATATTTATGTATTTTGATTTTAGAGTCCTTTTGCTTTTTCAAGTCCTCAAAAGCAACCTTAATAACTTATGGTGTTGGGCTGGTGAGATGGCTCAGTGGTCTAAAGCACCTACTTAGAACAAGCTTAGCAAATCACAGGGACCGCTGTTCAATCCCCCAGCACCACATGCCAGCCAGCCCCGCCCCCTGGTGGGCTGAGCTGGCCACACACACACACATAAATAAATAAATAAAATTAAA